AAAAGTTAAGGACATTATAACTTGGTGGGGGCGGGGGGGAGCTCTGTGGTACCCTAAGCAGGTTCCTATTTTGTTTAATGGTTAATCCAGCACAACTCTATGTGGTACCCTTAATGGTGGCAGGTTCACTTTTTGGGGCGTAAAAGTCAATAGCTGAATGGGTGGCAAATCACACCACTTCTCTAAATCAGTGTTTCCTATGATACAGAGAGGGACATGGTGGCTCAGTGCCTTAGATGCTGAACTTGTCGATTGAAAGGTCGGCAGTTCAGTGATCCAAATCCCTAATGCCATGTAATGGGGTGAGCTCCCGTTAGTTGTTCCATATTCTGACAACCCAGCAGTTCGAAAGCATGTAAAAAATGCAAGTAGAAAAATCGGGATCACCTTTGATGAGAAGGTAACAGCGTTCCGTGCGCCTTTGGCATTTAGTCATGCCAACCACATGACCACATCTTTGGACAGTGCTGGCTCTTCGGCTTTGAAATGGAGATGAGCACTATCCCCTAGAGTTGGGAATGACTAGCACAGATGTGCGAGGGGAACCTTTACCTTTACCTTTATGACACAGAGACTCAATACAATGCAATACAATGAAGATGTAAGATAAAGGAAGATAGGCCAAAAGTGTAATGTTCATTTATGGCTAGACATCTCTAGCTCTTCAGCCCTCCAGTCAAAGAGGGCAAGGGGAACATTGCCCTGCCTAAAGCAATGTTTCATTCCACCGAGGTTTTAGAGGTTCTGTTTTGTGTGAAAATGCATTTAACAACGGTGGTAGTAGGACCATGGGAGACTGTGGAAAGATACTGTTACTGACAATGAACTCACATCTCGAGGTCTGCGAGTGGATTCTGGAGATGCCTGCATGAAGTCTGAGGATATGACTGTGGGGGAGGTTGTGGGAAAGCAGCCTCTTGTAATTACATGTGATAATTAAAGCCAATTCCATCTTTCTATCATGCATTAATGCTGTTAGTTGCCAGCTCTGCTTTGATTCCTAAGTACGGTCATTCCCGCCCTCCCAGCCCTCCCCCCTCCTCTAAAGACAGCACAATAAGGGAAATGGACCATTTTGGATCAGTCTAAATGCAATTTGTTCAGTTCTTTTCAAGCATATAATCCTGGTACAAAGAAAGGATTTGGGGGGCATTTTCAGCTCTGCAGGAACAAAGGCTCAGGCCAGTCAGAAGGCAGAATTGTCACTTGCAGCTGCTCTGATAAATAAAAGAGCAGCCAGTAAATGCCTCTACAGTTTTGGATGCTTCTTAGGGAAACTGAATTTTCTCTACAGCAGGTGCTTTGGCTGCAACTCTCCAACTTCCCTTTGGGTCTGGTCATCTCTCTTTCTAGGGCAACATGAACAAGGGCTACTGTGCAAGCGTGGGAGGAGCATAGGGGGCTGCCTCATCTGAAGCCAAATCATTCATTCCTTGAGACTAGCACAATCTCCTTTGACTAGCAGGGGTCCTGGAAAGGCCTGATGAAGCTTTGCAGCCCTGGGACATCACAGAAACTCCTAGTGAGGACTTTGCAAGGATGGAACCAGTCACTACAAAACACAGAGCTCTCTCTACCCTGCATGTCCACAGTCATATTAATGGTGGGGTGATGGGGTGCCGAGAAGTGGGAAGGTAGTAATGGTTGGTTGTTATTGCAATGATTTCCTCTTTCATATCAAAATGAATAGGTTTTTAGCTGAACATTTCAATCGTCAGTTGGTGTATGTAACAGAACACAGTCCAAAGAAAAACTTCACATCCCCTTATTGCTACCAGCATGTATGAATCAATGGCTTCTAATAGTAGTGACAGCTAAAAGCTCAGCCTATCAAAACACACAGTGTTATCCCTCCTACTCATTCCTGCACACCAGGGGTGAAATGCTACTGGTTCAGACCAGTTCGGGCAAACTGGTAATAAAAAATGCTACCGGTTCAGGCGAACCGGTATTTCCGATGATCAGCTGGGTGACAATCAGCTGTGATGAGCAATTTATATTAGCTAGAGTCGTCGGATTGCCTGCTTTCTAGCTAACCTAAATCGCGTGGCATAGTGGATCCCCCCCCCGCTGTTCTACTTACCTTTGCAGACTTGGAAGGCTTCAAAATGTTCCCTTTTTAGCACTGCTTGGGTGCGTCTCAGGCGCACCTCAGGCATGCATGCATGCGCAAAGCACGTGCTCAGTAGCAAACTCACATAACCGGTAGCAGACTTCAGAGGATTTCACCCCTGCTGCACACTATGGCATTGCACTAAAATCAAGTCATGATTATTGTTTCTATCCATCAAAGAGGAGGTAGCGACTGAACTCTTGTAAATGTGAGCTTTTCTGCTACCTTATAAAAAAAGATACATCCAGCCGATCTTCAGTTTCCCAAATATAGTTGTAACCAGTGGTGGGTTTCAAATTTTTTTACTATCGGTTCTGTGGGTATGGCTTGGTGGGTGTGGCATGGCTTGGTGGGCGTGGCATGGCTTGGTGGGTATGGCATGGCTTGGTGGGCATGGCAGGGGAAGGATACTGTAAAATCTCCATTCCCTCCCCACTCTAGGGGAAGGTTATTGCAAAATCCCCATTTCCTCCTGATCAGTTAGGACTTGGGAGGCAGAGGATAGATGGAGGTGGGCCCAGTCAGAATTTTTACTACCGGTTCTCCGAACCACTCAAAATTTCTCCTATCGGTTCTCCAGAACTGGTCAGAACTTGCTGAAACCCACCTCTGGTTGTAACCTCCAGGACTCCAGGAAATTTTTGGCAGAGGACAGTTGGTGGACTTGCATGGTGGAACCAGAAGCTTATTCTTCTTCCAACTATTCCTGGCTTTTGAGCTTATACCTTTCCTTGCCATCTGGATTTCCTGGAAATGCCTTGCTTTTTGGAAGTATGAACTTCATCAACAACTTCTAGATTTCTTTCCTGCCTGGACAGGTTTTCCAAGTCCCAGGCCATGCAGCGTGCAAATGCACAAGAGGTAAATCATTACGGTTGGGATGACTTTGATATCATTTTCATCTTATTTTAGTGGAGAGTTGACACTGCTTTCCCCAAACCCAAGTCCTGTGGGTTGTAAAATTAAATGTGTATGTGGGAAAAACAGAATGATGTCAAGGCTATCTAAAACACTTCCTTTATAGCAGAGAGCACCCCTGTTTGACTCTGTTCCCATTTGAGCTTTTCTCTCTGCTGACAGGCACTATCTGCATCTGGAGGTGAGCAAACACCAGGACCACTTTGTGTGTCAAGTGCCAGGACAAGGCATGGACTGATACAGCCTCTATCCCTAGTGATAGCAAAGCCAGGTGCTCCTAGAAGCAAAAGTTCAGTTCCTGTTTGCCTCCATTTGGGTCCAGAATCTGGGAAAAAGAGATAGTGGCAAGTGACTTGGTGTTGACAAGTCAGATGATAGAAAGGTCATGTCTCCTTTGGTGAATTCTTCAGCAAGTGGATCAGAAGCAGCTGGTTAAGCAAAGTGGACCTTTAGGAGCAAGGGTGGTTGACTTTTTATCTACAGTTGCAACACTTAAGCACTAGAGCAGTGTTTCTCAAACCTGGGAACTTTGTGTGGATTTCAGCTCCCAGAATCTCCCAAGTCAGCAGGGGGATAGAATCAGTGGTGGGATTCAGCCAGTTCACACCTATTCGGGAGAACCGGTTGTTATCTTTCTAAGCAGTTTGAGAACCAGTTGTTGGAAGAAATCTTTTTTTGTTTTTTCCCACTTTACAGGGCTAATCCTGTAAGGACGGCAGGAAGGAAACATTCTGATGTTGTTTCTAGCCTAATCTTTATTGCACTGCTTACAGAAACTGCCTCTACGGTTAACCCTTATTACAGTGTAACAGCTAAGGCAAAGCGCCCATCGACGTGAGTGACGTTGAGTTGGCCACACCCACATGGTCACATGACTACCAAGCTACGTTACCCAGCTGGTCATTAGGGCAGAGAACGGTTGTTAAATTATTTGAATCCCACCACTGGATAGAATGCTCTAGAAGACATTCCCTGCACCATGAGATTCTCCATTGTGCCATCATATTCTATGAGCCTGTATTTTATACTACTTACCAACATCATTTACTGATGGGAGTCTACTCTGCTGGTGAACTAAATATACTATATATACCAGTGATGCCTAATCTTTTCCGGACCAAGTGCCCATAGTGCACGTGCAGGTGAATGCGTGCGCCCGTGCCCAAACCTAACCCTAACCCTAACTCTAACCCAGGGGTGGGTTCTAGTTTAGTTTAGTTTAGTTTAGTTTATTTGATTTGTATACCGCCCTACTCCCCAAGGACTCAGGGCGGTGAACAGCCAAGCAATAAAATACATTTTTTTTACATTTTACATTTTAAATTTTTTTACTACTGGTTCTGTGGGCGTGGCTTATTTTGTGGGCATGGCTTGATGGTCATGTGACAATTCTTTAGGATTTAGCAGAGGTACTGGTCTACCAGGCTTTTAACTGCTTGTAGAGCTGTACCGGTCTACTCATTTGTTTTTGGAGGCACCGGTCTACTCATTTGTTTTTGGAGGCACCGGTCTACCCATTTGTTTTTGGAGGCACTGCTCTACCATCACACTGCCTTTTAACACTGATCAGCTGTAGAGCGGTCCTTTGAAGCCTTGCGGCAAGAGTTTAAACAGTTTTTTTCCTTCTAGCTGATCAGCTGGGACTCGGGAGGCAGCAATAGATTGGGGATGGGGCCAAATAACAGGTAAGAATAATGCAGGGGGGGGCAGGGGCGGGGGGGCAGGAGGGCCCAGCTCCCGAACAAAGAGAATTGGTTCGGTGACATCATATCGTCACCGCTACCAGCTCGGCCGAACTGGGCCGAACCGGGAGGAACCCACCATTGTCCTAACCACATTATAGCTTAGGACAATTTGTTTCAACTGTATACAGCAAGAATATAAATCTGGGCAAATCTGTTCCTAAACCAGTTGTTATATACACTTATACTACATTCTTTAACCTTCATGCTTACCTGAAACTGGTTAACTGGCATCACTGGGTCTTATTTCCAAACTACTGCCTAGAAATGTATCAGCTGGGTGGGAACCTGTGATCATCATCATTGCCATTTTCTTCATCACCTCCACGATCTCAGGTTTTTGCTTTGCTTTGTACCGCCTGACATGAGGAAATGCTTTATTTGCCTTTAATCTGGGTGCCTGATACCAGTGGTTTCAATAAAAAGAGAATCAAGGGGATTTTGATTATTTAGAAAAACATTGTTTAAAGCGGGCATGATCTCACCTCGCTGGCTTTGGGAAGAACCCTCCTTCTCCTGCATGGCCATCATCTGTGGGAAGTGTTTTCCCTTTTCTAAAGTGGAAAGGCAATGCTTTTGTTGGCTAAAGCTTCACATAGCCTCCTGAATGTGTTAAAAGGGGGGTGAACAAGAGAGGAAGCTTCCTGAATTACAAGATAAATACATATCCATTGCACATAAGAATATTAACTGTGTAAGGCTGTTTAAAATAGCACTTAGTTGCCTCCTTCCAGCAGAACTGGGGAGGAAATCCTATGAGGTTTTGTCTGGAATAGCAGAAGGTTGGGTGGCAATCTGCTTGCTTTTATTGCAGCCCTAGAACAGGGGTGTCAAAGTCAAGGCCCACGGGCTGGATCTGGCCCGCAGGGTGCTTAAATCTGGCCCACAGGGCTGTCCTGGAAGTAGCAAAGGACTGGCCTGCGATGCCTCTGGCAGCCAAAACAGGGTGTGTGTGTGTGTTTGGGGGGGCTGCATGCTGCCCCCCCCAAACCCTGTTTGGCTGGCAAAGTGCTATAGGAGGCTGTCCAGGCTGGAAACGGGGCACATTTTGGCCAGCCGGATGCTGCAGGAGGGGTCTGTCCCACCTCCCCCCCCTCCGGCCAGCCCGTGGAGGAGAACTACAATCTTGATCTGGCCCTCAAAGAAATCCAGTTTGACACCCCTGTCCTAGAACATCCGGATAGGTGCTTGGTACATAGGACAGACACAGAAACACAGAATGCTTACATAGAGACAGAGCAGTGGTGAAATCCAATTTTTTTTACTACTGGTTCTGTGGGCGTGGCTTGGTGGGCGTGGGTTGGTGGGTGTGGCAGGGGAAGGATACTGCAAAATCTCCATTCCCACCCCACTCCAGGGGAAGGATACTGCAAAATCTCCATTCCCACCCCACTCCAGGGGAAGGATACTGCAAAATCTCCATTCCCTCCCCACTCCTGGGAGAAGGATATTGCAAAATCTCCATTCCCACCCCACTCTGGGACCAGCCAGAGGTGGCATTTGCCAGTTCTCTGAACTACTCAAAATTTCCACTACTGGTTCTCCAGAACCTGTCAGAACCTGCTGGATTTCACCCCTGAGACAGAGGCACATATATGTTTTCTGCATACATCTATTTTATATGTGTATAAAAAGGTAGCCATCCATGCATTAATTGTTGGGCCTATTTTCATTTTTACATTGTGATTCGAGGACTTCGGGCGTGTCTTTGGGGACCCTTAAAAAGCAAGTATGGTTTTAATTCTATTTTTAATTCTTTGCAAAAAAAAAAAAAATTCTCCTAAACTATCCATCTTGAAAAATGCATATATCCAGACACACAGTATATATCCTGCTTATTGCTAGTACTCCCTTAATGTCTGGTCTGTTTAGGGACAGTTTGAAATTAAAATGGAGCTGAAAAAGTAACTTTGCAACTAGTCTTCACACTTATGACTGTTGGAGCATCCCCATGCTCATAAGTGATCATAAGCAGAGTTAATGGAGAGCTGCCTAGACTAGCGACTCTGGTAACAGGCAATATCCAAAAGGAAAAGAGGAGGAAACAAAACAAGTAGGATCTATTTCTTTATATCTAAGATCATGGATTTGGCTCAACAATTCGGGCCAGACAGTGTGCTCCTTTCTCCTTGACAGGCAGCAAAATAAAGCCCTGCCAAATATTATTGTACAAAATTTAAATGCTCACATATGGCCAGTCCATTATTATCTAATAGATTTTATCATATTTGAGACAATTAATCTGATCACATTTTTAATCCTGAGCTTTCTTGTCTACACTCCCGAATTAGGTTTAAGACAGTGGTGAAATCCAATTTTTTTTACTACCGGTTCTGTGGGCGTGGCTTGGTGGGCGTGGTGTGGCTTGGTGGGCGTGGCAGGGGAAGGATACTGCAAAATCTCCATTTTCACCCCACTCCAGGGGAAGGATATTGCAAAATCCCCATTCCCTTCCCACTCTGGGACCAGCCAGAGGTGGTATTTGCCGGTTCTCTGAACTACTAAAAATTTCCGCTACCGGTTCTCTGAAGTACTCAAAATTTCCACTACCGGTTCTCCAGAACCTGTCAGAACCTGCTGGATTTCACCCCTGGTTTAAGAGTGCTAGAGTGCTATTGAATAGATTAATTTCTTTCATTTCCAGAATATGAAGTTTAAGACCCTTGCTGAGTTTATAAGCTCAGGATCAGGGCAAGGCAAACATTAGTTTGGCCCTTGCTTTCTAGGTGTGCTTAATAGAGTGATCCAGGTCAAAGGATTCATAAACACAGATAGTGATTATGATTCCTTGTGGAGCTCTTGCCTGAAAAGACATGGTTAATGTAATGCATGTTAGATAGTTAGACTTCACAGCCTTGTTTGTTTCCGTAGGCCAGAATAAGAGTTAAATTTATTTGAGTGTGCAGACCAAAACCATCAAATCCACAAAAACTCACTGAATAACCTTCAATAAGTTTCAGCTTTTTTGTATTAACTAATTCATACAATGGTTAAGAGCATTAATAGACATTCACACTCATAATTTTACAGAGATGTAATATATAGCCATGGTGGATTTTCTTCTTTATAAAATGTTGTAAAGATGTGAGCTGCAGCTCAGACATTTTATGCTAGACTGTTTCCGCTTGCATCCCTATTTATCTCTGATTAAAAATTGCAAACAAACTTGATATGATTGTAAAAATGCATCCAAAATGTTTTTCAAAGCTACAGGAAAAGTTAAAAAACAGAGTGGGGAATTTTATCTGTTACGACTGATATATTGCTTAACATCTTAAAAAAGAGGTTTCTTCCAGAAAATCATATTTACATTTACGTAAATCGAAGGAAGTGATATACATAAATGTTAGGAGGATTTATGGTTGACATTTTTTGCTTGATTACAAAAAACAAAAAACCTGTCTCAATGCAAACAGAAAAACTGTCAGAATTTTAATGACCTCTGCCTCAGTGAACGACTCTAAAATTGCCTCACAATTATTTTTATATAGCTGAGATATTTACATTCGTATATTTAGAAGTTCTATAAGCCCAACAAAGCAGAAGCCTTGCATTTGATGGAAATAAAAGGAGAAAGAAATTAGCCAAGTGCAATGCCTCTCAGTCTTTTTTCTCAGTTTGTTTTTTTTAAAAAAGGAACTTTAATGATCAACAAATGGCAATTAATTTCCTGTCATGTAAGGACTGTACTGTAATAGCTCATCATCCATTACAAACAATGTTGATGGTGCATGCTTGATTTCAAAGATGAGACTCGCTTTGCTACATAGAGTTGGGATTGCAATTAACTTGGCCTTTTAATTATAAATTAATGGATGAATTATTTTAATCACAACTATATGTCTCAACTTCTTAACTGTAGTTTGTACATTTGACACAAAGACAAGAACATCAAACGGATATTAAATACTAGCATAGGAACTTTGCCAGCCAGGCACTAAGGGAAGCTGTTGAACCTCCTAACCTGCTATTTTGGAAGGTTCAAAATCCCAAACACACACTCTGGATTAGTGTCCTGACTGTGGTTTATCAAACCAGCTTTCTCCTTCTTAATAATTCTTCTCTATCATTGGTTTAAATACTGCACGCTATATAGCTCCAGATGGATAATTACACTGCTTCAGGTATTCTCTTCTTCCTGCCTTTGAAATATTTGCTTTGAGGATCTTTTTTTGGGGGGGTGGGGTGGGGGTGGGAACAGATGATGATGATGATTAGTTTGCTACTTGAGCGGTACATAAAGAGGTGAAGCATAAACTTCACTATTTTAAGAGCCTTGCCAAGAATAAAGACAGAGAATGCTGATTCCTCTCCAACCCATCTGAAATTTCAATTCTGGAATTGGCACATTGATAATTTTAAACAAAACCACTTAGTTGCAAGGGGCATATTGGATTTAGAGCCTGACATGAAAAACCTACTGGATTCTTTGTGTTGCTGAATAATATCACAGCACAAGTGCCTCCTATAAAATATTTTTTAAAAAACTAATTGGTTAAGTCAGTCTTCCTGAATATAATATCAGCAAGACAAATTGAGGCAGATTTAACCTCTGGCATTTCAAACAGAAATATGCAAGCTCTACAATGGCCTAGATGAGGCAGAGCCAACTGAATTTAAATCTAGAAAAGACAGAAGTTCTAAAGAATTCAACCTGTGTCCTTCCTGATCTTTCTGGATTTGGTGATAATTCTCCATGCCTTGATTGGATTACATATTTACTGTTAAAGTGTTCTGTTGTGTGCATGTTTTAACTGTTTTATAATTTTAGAACTGTTAGCTTCCCAGAGTCACTTGGTTGAGATGGGAAGCTAGGAAATGAGTGAGTGAATGAATGAATGAATGAATGAATGAATGAATGAATCAATCAATCAATCAATCAATGAATAGGGCTGCCCTTGGAAAGAGTCTAGAACTTGCAGGTGGAATGAATAGGCTTCTAATCAATGAAATGGACAGTAATCATATGATACCAGTCTTGAAAAAACTTACCAATTGCTTACTTGACACAATTTAAATGTATGATATTGTACAGATATTTAAAAGCATAAGTTTCATAATGGGAGACTTTTTATATTTAGGCAGGATTGCCCCTCCCATTATGAACTTTCTTTCAGGAGAATCCCTTGTTGTGAGGGATCTATTTTTGTGATACCTGGGAAATGACCTTTTTGTCCTAGTTCCTGGATATGGGAAAAGTTGTATTTGGCTCCTACTATCTTAGTGTTCAGGTGATTCTTAAAAATATAATCTTTTCACGTAGCATTTTAATATTTGATGGTTTAGGGTTTTTTAAAAAAAAAATTAATTGCTCTCCTTTAAGCCACCCATAGAAATAATATCCTCCACAAATTTGGAGGAAGGTGAAAGAAAATGAAATCACATTAAGACCAGAAATGTTAATTCTTGGAATCTTCTCCAGAGAAGAAAGGTGGGAAAAGTTAAACATATAATTATTTGAAGGTAGCAGTTTTGCAAAGATCCTCATTTGAGTACTGCATTATAGGCAGTGTTGATCTAAATGAACCAATGTTCTTATTCCTTATAAATCTCTTCTATCTTTGAAGCATTATTCATCCCCCAACATTGAAATTAATAACTTCCACTTATTCAAAAAGCAAAACATTCTAAAGAGTTCTTTTATTTTAATGACCCTGTTATCCCTTTTATCGGAGTGGAGTCAGAGTGACTGAATGGAACTCAAGTGTTTACTGGCCAGATGCTCTTCCTGACGCCTACGTGGAGTTCACAGGACATTGTTAGATATATTTGTGCTAAGGGGGAAGTCCACTGAAAGTACATAACTGAGAGAAAGAGTTTGAAACAGCCCTAAAAAGCTGTTGGTCAGGGTTGTTGATCACCATCTAAAGCACTGGAGCCTCCTCACATAACCTTATTTAGCCCTAAGTGCACAACCAGAAATATAGGAAAGTTACCGTTTGAATATAGACTTACTGGCTTTATTTATAATGAACTTTTCAGAAAAGAAAAGGAATATGCAATGGCATTTTCTCTCCCTTCCTTCTTTCAATCTGATTAACCAGGCAATTACCTGTTCATAGGAAGTGGCAGATAAATTCTACCTCATGAAATGCTCTGCAGAATATTCACCATCTTTTTAAAGCTAATTTCATTGGCTTATTCTTACCTCAGATCCATCTCTTGTGGCAAGATTCATTCATATCTGAGCTCATATTTTAGACTGTGGCAAGATTCATTCATATCTGAGCCCACTTTTGAGACTTACCTAGGTCTTGATTCACACAATCTCAGGAACTCCTCAGGAGGGGGATTCAATCTTGAGACTTGATTATGCATCTTGGTTACATTCTAAAGCTGTGGTAACTAGGAGATGAAAAGATGTTGGAAGTCTTTGAGGTCACAATGGCCAGCAGCATCAACATGCAGTCACAGGAGACATTTCACTGAGGGAGACAAAAGTTTCACTGAAGGAGACACAGTTTCTCCTTCCAATTTTGCTGAGGCAGAAGAAGCAAAAGCATGTGGACACAGACTACTGTTCACTGTAGAAATCAACAATAGAGGTACACATAGAATGGAAAATATTTAAGTTGGCTGTGTTCATGAAGTCACTTACAGTCAAATTTGATTTGAAAGAGATCTTATCTTTTTAATAAGCAGGAATATTTTGCTGAAATGGCAGTCAAGAAAGGAGTAGAGAATGAGACTCCTGATAAAAACATGGTGAGTTAGATGTCCCTGAAGGAGTGGGGATGACATTATGGCAGAGATCAGCAGTCAAAGGGTAGGTGCTGGTTAACAAAATCTCTCCAGAGAAAGGAGATATCATGACATCAGCCACATGTACTCCAGACAGCTGCACCTCATGAATAGATTGCAGATACTGAGGTTTTTGTGGTTGGATGGTGAGTTGAATGGCTGAGAGTCAAGAGATTCCAAGTAAGCTCACAGTTACAGTGAGAAGTTCAGCCAAGCCTCATTTCTCAGTCACTTTTGGAATTACTTTGTTACTGCTTTTCAAATATTAAGAACTTTTGGAAAGGCCAGGTTTATGGCATTCACTAGGTGAGTTAACTTCAATCCTAAATCTTAGGTATGGATTTAGGGGAAAAAAAATCTCATTTTTGGAGGGAAGAATGAATGGCAATTAATAGACTGTTGTTTATTTATTTATTAAAATGGACTAGAGGTCTGGATAGATTTGAAATAAGATTTTGAGATCAATTATAAGAATCATTAGGAAATGGCTGTTGTTTTGAATACTGAAAAAAGAAAGGATAGGAATTTGAAGGTTGGGCACTAGAGGGAATCAGGAGGAACTAAATGAGAAGAACCCTTCCGTTCATCTTGCTAACAGAGAATGAAGCAAAATACATTGGTATTGAAGAATGTTTTTCAATAAGGGGCTCAGAAGATAATTTTAAGAATGTTATCATAAAATAATCTCTGTGTAAATGATGTTAATGGAAGCAGAACAAATTGTACCAAAGATGACCGAAATTGATTTAGATGTGGAATTAAAAAAACAACAGGCTTTCTCCACACCACTGAAGGAATCTTCTCTCCAGGTGGATGGAAATTACTTTGCCAGGATGCAGAAATAGCAATAGCACTTAGATTTACATACTGCTCCATAATGCCTTACAGCACTCTCTGAGCAGTTTACAGAGTTAGCATATTGCCCCCAACAATCTGGGTCCTCATTTTACCAACCTTGGAAGGATGGAAGGTTTGAGCCTGTCAGTATTGAACTCCTGACAGTGGGCAGAGTTAGCCTACAATACTGCATTCTAACCACAACACTCAAATTATCAGGATCTGAGCTACATTTTTCCACTCTGCTGAAGGAGTTCAGTTCCCCTCGGCAGACACCTCTTTCGTCCACCTCCCAGAGACAAGAGGCAATCCTCTTTTTAATTGTTATTTTTTTATTAAAGTTTTATTGAAGTATAAAAGAGAACCAGTCTAGAACTAAGGAGAAATTTTCTGACAGTTAGAACAGTGGAATGACTTGCCTTCAGAAGTTGTGGGTGCCCCATCACTGGAGGTTTCAGAGAAGAGATTAGACACCATTTGTCTGAAATGGCAGAGGAACCCACTAGAGAAGTCAAAATGAAGATAAGATGGCAACAGCTAGACACAGAAATTGAAAGAAGCGGGGAGGGGGAAAGAGAAGAGAGACCCAAGAAGAAAAAGACAGAGGAACTTTTCCTATGATTCATATTAATGATAACCAACATATTTTTATACCAGCAAATTTATAAAATTTGCTGCCTCCATTAGTGATCACCAATATTGTCTTCTTCAGGATTGCATGCAAATGATACCTTTATTTGCTGTATGCAGGGCATATCATGGAAAGGATCTGGCAGATTCCTGCAGTATTTTTCCTCCCCTTCCACTGAATATCACCAACTGGTGGGAGAATTTCTACTAATCTGTTTAATGAAGAATGATATTAGGACTCAATCTGGAAAGAATAGATGACAAACTGGTGTTCTGCAAAAGTTTTGAGAACCGGATTAATAGATGGTAATGTAAAGAGGCTGTTCCTATGAAGCCAATTTACAACACAGCAAGTTGACAGACAGTGATGGGAAGATGAAAATGTAAAATTTGTAAAATTTCTCTCCTTGAGAGGAAAAGTAAATAAATTTAGATAATCTTTGAGATGTTTAGACAGGACAATTTAAAAAAAATGTTCATAAGAATAACGTATTTTCTAAATCCATCAAATCATACTGAATTTTATAAAATAGGCTTCATAGCTGACAATTTTCTTAGTTAATGAGTTAAAAAATGATATCTAAAACTGAGAGTTTTTCCAGAAACATAATTTTCTTTAATTAATTTACTAGCAATTATTTTTGACAATTGTTAGCTGTTATGCCAGAGATATAAATAATCCACGACACATTTCTTACCCCTGCAACTTTGTATCTGAATAATGTGGAGAGGTGTAATTTACATCTGCAATAATGTGCTGTCTGAAATAAAACTCTGGATGGCTGTTTATGCATCTGCAAAGCAGTGTATAAAGCATGTGCAAAATATATACTAATTAGATTAAAATTAAATGAAATAATATAGAATTTCTCTGCCATGTTACTTGAAGTGACAAACAAAATCTTGTAGGGAATAAACAGTCTATTTTGAGCCCCTGAATTCCAAGACCACTAGGCCTAGCACTGTAGATATTACTTGAGTGGAAACCTGAACGCAACTTTATATTTATTTATTTTTTAGCTTCTTCAGACTTTGGTACTGTATAGACAACCAGTTTTCTTGAATTCTCTTGATAGTGATGATCATGATGAGGAAGAAGATGAGGAGAAAGAGGTGATGGTGGTAAGGAGATAAATGATAGACAAATATAGTTGAAATGTATTTGAATATAAGTAGCTCAGGTTGGTAGGCTGTTAGTCTGAGCTCTGAGCTCAGCAATTTGGTTGCAAACATTTTGTCACCATTCGAGGAGACATTGTCAATGTGCTTTGAATTGTGCTCATTTGTCAGAGCACTGCCCTTTAAGTACCTTTTTATGTGATGCAAATTAGTATGGATGTTATTTGTTCGGCTACTTCTGAGTCATGGTCTGACTTCAGACTGTTTGACCATGCCTCGGTAACAACTGCCAGCCAATCAAATAGTCCAAAGTCAGACCATGATTCAGAAGTAGCTGAACGAACAGCATCCACACATTTGCATCACATAAAAAGGTTAAGTGCTCTGACAGATGAGCACAATTCAAAGTGTATTGATGATGTCTCCTTGAATGGTGAAGAAACGTTTGCAACCAAATTGCCAAGTTCGGAGCTCAGACCAATAGCCCAGATAAATATAGCATTCTGGATTTAGATTTTTCTGAACTACTCTCCCTTATCTTTTGATATTAATATTGAACCACGTACCTTATGCCTTATACTGTTTAACTCAGCTGATTGTCAGAATCCCATATATCTGCATCTATAATACTGTACATGGATTCTATTGTTGCAACAGGATGAATAAGAGCTTTGCTCCATGCACTGGTTAAATTAAGTCAACCCTAAATAAGACCTCTATTCATGGACCTAAGAATGATGAAAGACAGAGGGAAGAGAAGACACAGAGCTGACAGCTGAAGCTTGTCTCTGCTCTCTTAGCCAGCAAAGCTGACAAGTAGATTGCCCAGGACAGGCACTTACAGGTTAGCCTGTCAGCTACTGGAATGCCCTATTTTTTATCTGCCACCTTCATGGAAGACTTTTAAAAAAAAGAAAGACAGAGAAGGGATCTGTGCCCATCTGATGAGCTGGCTCATACTGGCATGTCATCAGCTTTTGGAGATGAACACAAAGAAAGCAAAAAATTACAGTAGGATCTTTCATATCCTTGTCGGATTTGTTCCTCTGTCTGCAATCTTTGATGTTTACAGAAAACTACAGAGCAGAATGTGTGGCTATAAAAGCAGTACAGGCAGCAGCGAACATAAAATAAGACAAGGGTCAGTAGAATTCCAATATTATTAGTGGACTTGTTATATCTCTGGTTCTGGAAAATAAAAACATAGAATCAATTTAGGGCACAATTTTAGGCCAACATCACTGTTTTCAGCCTCCAATCCTAACAGAAGCAATACGAAGGCGATCTGTAATTGCTTTTCTTTCTACCAACTAGCAATGCTGAGAAAAAGAAGCAAAACTCAGTGTGCACGCCGAGTTGCTATAATTTCTATATATATACTGTGTTTCCCCCAAAATAAGACCCTGTCTTATATTTTTTTGAACCCCGGAATAAGCGCTTGGCCTTATTTTCGGGGAGGGCTTATTATTTTGGGGCACGTGGGGGAAACCAGACGAAATGGCGGGGACGAGCTGCGCATGCATTTAAATATTTTCAAGGAGGGCTTATTTTCAGGGGGGCTTATTTTAGTGCATGAGCTCAAAAGCCCGATTGGGCTTATTATGAGGGGAGGTCTTATTTTAGGGGAAACAGGGTAATATGTTTGGATTAGACGTATAGGTCTCACCTTGGAGGTCTGGAGACTGGAGACAGTCTGAAACAAAGTTTCCTCCAGAGGGAAAATGGAAGGAAGGAAGGAAGGAAGGAAGGAATTAATTCCTTGTGAATTGCATAAGTCGAGGAAGGTATTACATTCAATGAAAATATGTTAATGGCAGAAGAGTCTAATGAAAAAGAAGGAAGGATCGAAACAGGGGCAACAGAGAAGCCAACTTGTTGCTTCAAGCTGGGATGAAGATGAGCACACCAAACTCGCCTTCCTTGACCTGCTCTTCTTGAGAGGAGGATGAGTATCTGAAATGGAGACCTTCTCCATCTATAGAGGCTCTTCACATGGATGAAGCCTCTGGAAAATTTAGGCTCCTCAATCAGTTGAAAGTCACCATGGACAGAGAGTGGCAATACTGCAAAAACTCATCCTGAGTAATTGGGAAAGATGGGAGCTGACAAGAGGAGAACAAACTTTGCATGGTGATTGAAGAGGACTATAATTAGTCAGCATTCTTTTCTAGGGATAGGAGCTACTGCATCTGCAGGAGTAAGGTTGTCAAGCAAGCCTAGTTTCCTTGGGCCTGCAGCCCAACACAAACCCTAGAATTAGGCCTTTATTGACCACATTTGTTTTTCCCAACAGAAGGGGAGGAAACAAAACAACTGATAAAAACTCAAGAATCTTTTCTTAAGTTTCCATTCCAACTTCCAATAAGTCACACTAAACAGATCTATCTCCAGCAATGTAGCAGAATAGGTATACTGATTTGGGATTAAGAAATTCTCGCTTCAGTGGGGTTTACCACAGGAAAACATACTTCCATTTATGCTCATTTAGCCCACATGTTAAATTTCTCTGTGTAAGTGTATGATGCTCTTGTGTATGTGCAAGTGTGTGAGACAGTTTCCTATATGAAAAAATCACTTGTGTTCTACATAGGATGGGGATCACTTAAATTTGAGGCGTCTTATTTTAGTAGGAATTTCATTTAACTGGTAAGGTTTCTTTTTTTCCTGGCTGTGTACCTCTGAGGAAAATGGTTCTTTGCCAAGTATACAAGGAATATTCATTCGTGTGGATGTGTGCACACAACCACATAGACAGAGAGACGTGTCTGTCATATGCCCACACACTTCTTGGTGAGTGGGGTTAAAAAATGTAAGCAATTTTAATGGAAATTGGCAGCCTTAATAGACAAGATAGGACAGCTGGGCTGCATACAGAATTTTTGTTTTTAATCATCTTTTTATTTTTTTGCAGAAGAAGTCAGCTGAAATTCAGGATAGGCTTCTTTTCAGGTGAAAACAGAAATTCTGAGGTAAAAATAAGTTCATGATGCTATTTGGCCCTGATTAGACCAATATATTCATTTACCACAGAAGATGGCTACTTTTGTGAATGGATAAAAATTTCCAATAAGAAGAACAGGAAGCTATCATAAGATATCTTCAAGCTAGTCAAGTCAGGGATCCAGCAGTGTAACATGAGATCCACTGGCTAATGTGGGTAGAACCTATTAGTATACTTTATAATCACTGTGTACTTGCATCTGATGTTATAATGTATGAATATAATTCGTAATTACACGAACATAATTCGTGTAATTCGTGTGATGATATAATTGCACATTTGCCACTATTCTGGTATCGTAGTTTGTTACAGATGCTGTTGCATGAACTACTCATACAATATGTAGACAATGGGTAATTTAATTAGCAGCCCAGTTGGCATTTTGTATGCAGAAACCACTGACTTCAAACAGACATGTAAAAGTGTCCTTCTTTCCTTCCTTTTTGTGTGCAACTTTACTTTGGCCTTATGAAGATTCATGAAAGTCAAAAACTTTCGGCAACATTAACAATGCCGGTTGTTAAAGAGAAGATACCATCTCATCATTTCATGTCTTGATTTCAACAAGTTACAGAGAATTAAAAAAAATGCCCCACCTAAATGTAGTTTTAGAGGAAAATTCCTCCCTAAGGATGGTGTATACAGTGTTTATACATTATGTCAGCAAAAGATGTGCAAGATATAAGGCTTTGCAGATTAATTAGTTAATGGCTATAATACACTTTGAAGTTTAAAAGTGTGATGTAAATGTTAAGTACGATTACAGTGATGATATATTTGTGGTCCCTAACTTACTCCTACTATTGCAGTAATTACAGATAAATTCTTCAAAGCCTCAATAGCTACTTTATAATTAGCCTCTCTGAACAAACATCTACCGCACAATCAGGTGATTTTCTCAGCTGTAGTTTACACAAGTAACTAATCTTTGCCCTTTCAGGCAATTGTTGCCACCATATATTCATGGGAGTGGAATCAATTAAAATTCTACCTGATTTAAGTATTCAGTCATATATTATTCCTAGATTCACACACCAAGGTAAGGCAGAATGTAGTTTGTTTGGCTTTGGTTTAGCGTATCTTAAGAATTAGCCACTGTAGTTCTTAAGCCATTGCTTATGGCGTAATGTATTCTGGAAACCAGTATTGTGGTTTATAAAATATACTTAATGGCTTGATATGTAGGGGTGGTTGTGATTCATTGCACAAACTGCTCTGTTTCTGTCCTCACTCTGGTCTGCTCACCTAGCGGGAACGGAGAAGCATTCTGATTGGCTACCCATTTGACAGCCAAGTATAAAAGAGCTGTCAGATGGAAAAAAAACCACTGTTGTTAGCGGAGCAGCCACCTGTTAGCAATCTCTGTAAGTGCGAATAAACGGTTGGCTTTATCATATGGTCTCGCCTCAGTCTGCCTGCCGCTGTTCTTGGTACTGAACACAAACTATGATTAAATCATGTTTGGCATGATTGTGAACCCTGTCTACGTGAGACTGTTATATAATGCAGCAGCATAATTCAGCTTTATATATCAATTGTTCACTTTCCAAAAAGCTACTGCTGCTGATGTAGGGGCATGTACTTTCCAGAAGCTCAAAAAAGCCTCCTACCATTGTCTGTATGCAAAATTTCACACAATTGCCAGAGTTAAAGTATTTATATAGACACTTTGGATACTACCAACATTTGGTATGAATTTAGCAGATTCTTTGGGGACAAACTAGTGGTGGGTTGCCCCCAGTTCGGACCAGTTCGCAAGAACCGGTAGTAAAACTGGCGGGAGGCCCTGCCCACTGCCCTTGATGTTGTCATCAGCGATCTGCGCATGCGCAGAAGCAAGGTGTGTGTGCGAGCAAAGCAAGTGTGCGCGATCCCGTTGCGAACTGGTAGTAAAGATAAGTAGAACCTACCCCTGGGACAAACCAGAATGGTCCTGCTGGATCAACTGTCATGTTCACTTCAGACATTGTTCCTATCAACTGTAACTAACTTTCCATCAAGATAGGTTGATATATGGACATTGGTGGTATAATGAAAGCTAGGCTTTTTTAACTTAAAAGGGGCCAGAAAAAAATAGATAAACAAGGACCCACCTGTTTTATAGGCATTAATGAAACAAACAAAATGTTAAAAAGTTATGATATTTATGTAACTTACCAAGTACAGTATATCTAAATTATATTAAAGTAACCAAAATATCTTTATAACCCTAAGGCATGTCACAACTCTTGAGCACCCCTAATGTTTGGAAATCGAAAGTTGAAAATGGAGGAGCTGAAGGACACTTAGTTCTAAACCATCCTTGGAGGATTTCATGATCTCTTCTTTCTCTCTTATGTGTTGCCAGGTGGAATGAGTTAAAATGAAAGCATCGTTGAAAAAGAGAAAGTGACAGGAATACAGGTAGTCCTACACTTACGACCACAATTGAGCCCAACATTTCTGTTGCTACGGAAAACATTTGTTAATGAGGTTAAAAATGAGGTTTGCCTCATTTTACAACCTTTCTTGACACAGTGGTTAAGTGAACCATTGCAATTGTTAAGCCAGTAACACGATTGTTAAGTGAATCTGGCTTCCCCATTGACTTTGCTTGTCAGAAGGTTGCAAAACATGATCATATGACCCCAGGACACTGCAACCGTTATAAATATGAGTCAGTTGACAAGTGTCTGAATTTTCATCCTATGACCATGGGGATGCTGCAATGGTTGTAAGTATGAAAAAAGGTCATAAGTCACTTTTTTTCAGTGCTGTTGTAACTTTGAAAGGTTACTAAACGAACTGTTGTAAGCAGGGGTGGGTTCTACTTACCTTTACTACCGGTTTGCAGCGGGGCCGCGTGTGCGTTCTTCTGCACATGCGTTTTGGTGACATTGGGGTTGGTGGGCGGAGCCTCCTACCGGTTTTACTACCGGTTCTATAGAACCGGTGCGAACCGGGGGCAATCCACCACTGGTTGTAAGTCAAGAACTATCTATAAACAGAAGGATTTCAATGATTCTGCCAACTGAATGCTCCCCTTGAATTAATGGGGAAACCGTGTCTGGATTGGCCAAAAAAGGAGGGAGCCATAAATGGACATGTGGATTTCATTACATTCCCCACATGTTTCCTTCTACCATAATGGAAGTACAGGAAGAGCTGCCACATGAGAGAAAAAACTAGTTACAAATTAAACTATAGACATAAAGCATACAGGAAGCTGCACATTCATGTTTTTTTCCACAGACCTTTAGAGAGAGAGGAAAAAAGGAAGAGAAAAAGAATTGGCTGCTTAATGTTTTTTCTTCTTTTGATGCTCCATTTTTGGGTCTCACTGATCACGTCTACAAAGGCTGAGTGAAATGAATGGATCTTGTGCTAGGAATGTCACTTGCCGAATTGAACCAGGCATTGTTAGCATTTGAAAAGAACTGAAACATGCAGGCATGCCTAGCTGAATTTATGAGGAAAGCTTGTTTGTTTTTTATACACTGGAGAAACTGTCTAAAAATAGTTCATCTTTGTGAAAACATTTCTCCTGGAACGTTACCAAGGGCAACAAGGACTTGAATTATCAGCCTTGTTAATGTTCACATAAATCCAGCCTGTCAAGCATTAACTTGTTCAGCTCAGATTTTATAAAAGGCCTTCCTTTTTCTGCACTTTTTTGGAAATTCCCCTCCTCCTGGCTGTTGTGTTTCAGAAGTAGGATTGCTCTTCTAGCATTCAGGCACCATCCTGTGAACTGAATATTGGGCCTGCGTGTCTTCAGTAAAGGAATCACAGTTGCCTATTTTCTTTATCAGAGGTGGAGGCGTTTCAAAAAAGAAAAAGAAAGAAAGAATTTTTAGAATTTCTGTTTGATTCTGCAAATCAGAATGGCCTTTCAAGTGTAGGAAAGGCCTGGTGAAACTATTGACGGCCTTCTGCTGTTTCATGGATGAGAAAAATAAAACAGCTAATACTAACACAAGGCCTCTGGTTTTAATTGTTTATAAGGGATTGATATAATATCAATATAGTGATTTGTTCATATAAGTTCAAATCACAAGTCTATGTAATTCGTCTATCAGTGCCTTTTAAAATTTTTAAATCTTAAGCCTAAAAGATGGTCAAACCTATAAAGATGGCTAATTAAGGGAAATGTTAACCTCCCATTTCCCACACACAACCCCTTGGTGAGGGAGATAGGCAGTTAAGAAATTTGATATATAAAAAGATAGTTGAAATATCTAGGCAGGGACATCTGTGGGGAAAGGATAAAAAAGTCAAGGGTCCTTTGTTTACATGCATCACATGTGAAGTGCACGTAAAAAAGAGGTAGAGCTTTAATCATATAATCATGGCTACCATCTTATCTTTTTCCAGCCTGCCCCTCCAAAATTTTTGATGCCCAGCCTGAATATTTCAAAATCCAGTCTTAATCCAGTCTTAACAAGAGCCTGGATAGCTCTGCAGACAAGGCACTGTAATTTAACACCAGCTGTCTGCAATTAAAGTAAGTTCGAATCTTGCCAGGCTCAAGGTTGACTCAGCCTTCCATCCTTTCTAAGGTAGGTAAATTGAGGACCCAGTTTGTGGGGGCAATAAGCTGACTTTGTATAAAATATACAAAAGTATGAAGGCTATTGCTTAACACACTGTAAGCTGCCCTGAGTCTCCGGAGAAGGGCGGCATATAAATCAAATAAAAAAAAAAGTGTGTATTTTCAGAAATAAGTTCCAGTGCATTGAATACAATTTACAAATTCATATGTGCTTATAGTACTATTGCCACAGTGACCAGGTAAATTTTCCAATGCCAGAATTCAAACTGAGTGCATCTCTTTTCAATGTATCATGTGTTTAAGGGTGAGATTAATTACTATCAAAATTACATTCTGAAATCATTTGAAATTTGATGAGAAATGTGGGGTTTTACCTTTCAGGTATTTCAATTGTCCAGGTTTGATTTTGAGAAATCTGCTTTTAAAATATCTTTTCAGTGATCTTGACAGATTTTGCGACAGTCTCATGCATTAATTTACCCAGCTTTAAACCAATCAGATCTGCAGAGTTGATGGTAGTCACAAATATAAATTACAATGTTTAGCTATAAAGTTTTACAGGTAAAAGTCTAATTTTAATGTGAAAATCATTTGAAGAGAATTAACACTTCTATTTTCCTCACAAATTGAGTCATTCAAGTATTAATAATTTGAATATTGTTACTGTTAGTTTATTTTGCAGTTTGGTTTAGTTAAACCAAAAAGTAAACCAAAAGACCCAGTAGCCCCAGAATCAAAAACAGGACTCATCTACAACATACAATGACTGCAACAGCCACCATGTAGGACAAACAGGCAAAAGACGAGCAGAACACATCCATGTACACTAACCACCAGTAAGAAAAAATGTTGAGAACACTTTAATTTCACAACATATGTACAGACTTAACTATAGTTTCAACTGGGAAACTGTGACCATCCTAGATCAAGCCAAGTCCCAACACCTAGAGAATTTCTGGAAGCCTGGCATTGACAAATTAGCGATCAATAGACCCATAGATCGAAAGAACACCTATACACTGTACAAAAGAGACAGTCAACAAGCCAAAAAGGGAACAAAAGACCAAAACACTTCCCCACCAGCAATCAACACCCAGATAAGCATAATTAACACAAATATTAACATCAGATCAAGAATCATAAAGTAAACGATACTCTAATCAAGGAACTGCTAAATAAGCTTAACAGTAACAGCTCAACCAAAGAACTTCAAGAGCACTCTCAGCAACCCTGACGGGACAAATTATTAGAATATAAACTGAGAGTAAACCAAACTCCATACTAGTACTGATGATGTTACCTAGCTTGGTTTAATGAAACATCTGCAAGAAAACAACCAAGCTCAGAGAGCAGTAAGGATCTCTCATTTAAACTACACCTAAGCTACAAATATTCTGTTTTATCGAAATCTGGTTTTCAGATATGACTAAAGAAATTCCTAGTGTCATTAATTTATTTGAAATACAAAAATAAATTTAATAAAATTAATAAAATTAATTAATTAAAATTAATTAAGACCTGGATTTCTTCAATTGTGCAGTGCTTCAAATTAAATTTGAAATGTGCTTAGAGTCTGCATCTGAACACTGAAGCCATCTGAAGTTTTTAAAGTAACCATATCTTTTCCCAGGATTACATGACATTTGTAGAAAGGTACTTGGGCGTAATAATGCAGAAAAAACAATTACTACCAAGCTGCCTTCCGTTGAGGACCTGTATACTGCACGAGTCAAAAAGAGGGCTGTGAAAATATTTACAGACCCCTCGCATGCTGGACATAAACTGTTTCAACTCCTACTCTCAAAACGACGCTATATAGCACTGCACACCAGAATAACTAGACACAAGAACAGTTTTTTTCCTGAACGCCATCACTCTGCTAAACAAATAATTCCCTCAACACCGTCAAACTATTTACTAAGTCTGCACTACTATTAATTTTCTCATTGTTCCTATCACCCACTTCCTCCCACTTACGACTGTACGACTGTAACCTTGTTGCTGGTATCCTTATGATTTATATTGACTGTTTCCTAATATCAGTTGATTGCTTATTTGTTCCCTATGACTATCATTAAGTGTTGTACCTTATGATTCTTTATGAATGTATCTTTTCTTTTTATGTACACTGAGAGCATATGCACCAAGACAAATTCCTTGTGTGTCCAATCACACTTGGCCAATAAAGAATTCTATTCTATTCTAATTAGAAATTACATATTATTTATTAAATAGCTTGTATAGCAGTGAAGCGGCTATTATTAAAAAGTATATATAGAAACTTTAAATCTGTTGCCACATATTTACTTGAAGGGTATCTAAGGACTAAAGAGGATGTTTTTTTAAAAAACCCACACCCCTTTTTTCCTTTTCTTGGATAGCAACCTGCAATAGTTGCTAACCTGCAAACCTGCAACAGTTTGCTATTTCCAGTATTAAAATTCTTTCCTTTTTTGTCATATCAACCCAATGACTGTAATTTACAGACCAGGGTTTATGCCTCAGGTGCACAGCCTCAGCCCCTGCAACAAACAGTAAAATTATTAAGTACATAATTGTAGAGCAACCATATTAGTTATTGAATTTAATTGCATTTTAGTGTAGGTTGTAGGTTAGGTTCTGCACCACCCATTGATTTTTGGAATGTGGTCCTAAGCTCAGAAACTGTATGTCTTTTTGCAATTATCAGATGTAGCCAATTATTGTTTATTCAGTAAACAGATCATGGTTAGGTTTCCTGTATGAACCTGGATACAGACAAAATCAAACCGTGCTGTTACAGTATTATAACCATTTTTCTTAAGCAAACAAAAAACCCAGATCATTGTTGCTAAGATATCTTTAATACCAAATACTGGTAGTCCTTGACTTATGACTGTAACTGAGCCCACAATTTTGGTGATAAGTCATGATAGTCATAAAGCATGTCACCACATATTCTGACCTGATTTTATGACATTTTGCGGCAATTATTAAGTGAACTCATAGTTTGCGATAGGACTGTTTTTGCCGGATCTGGATTTTGCTAGAGTTTCTGATTTCCAGCAAAAACATTGTAAATCATGGTCACATGATCACGGAGTGCTGCAAACGGTCATAAATGCAGGCCAGTTGCCAAGTGCCAAAATGTGGTCATGTGGTTGTGTGGGCAGGGGGGAGGCATCAGAACTTTGAAACCAGGTCATAAGTCTCATTTTCGAGATCTGCCGTAACTTCAAACTTTGGTTGTAAATTGAAAACTATCTGTACTGTAGATTATTGTTACAAAAATATTTTTTCTGATCTTTAAACAACATTGGAGGATTATAGTAAAATATGCTTCCAAAGATGTATGGTACAGCACAAATATGGTTATGTCTCTTTTATGTCACAAAATGGTTGTGGTTTCCATCTTTCCTCTTTCACCTTAAGGAGTCCCGGGATGTGTAGCAAATTTACTAATGTACTGCATCGTCTTTTTGTGAATAAATTTATGTTCTAAGTATTTGAGCATCTCAAATATCAATCTGTGTAGATTCTCTTATTATTATTTTAAGCCTGGTGGTTAGAGAAGCTTAACTATAACATGAAGCAAAAAAGCCTCTCTTTCTACAAGTCTAAAATCTCCAAAGTCTCATAAGCCAGCATGACATATTGACTTCATAGAGCAGTTTTTTCTTTTTCTTTTATTCAGAAAGAATCCCCCAATTCTCTGATTAGACTAATACATAGATTTTCCAGAGATTAGCAAAATCTGAAAGGAATCAAAATAATCCAGTGTGACAAAAGAGTTTTGGCACCCTAAATAAATGCATTGGGATCATAAATAAAATCCAAAGCCAAGTAAAATATACTTATTATAACTATTGGAATAACCCATTACTAGTTATTGACTTTGTTGGGTCCCTAGAAAGCTGGGTGTTGCTTTGTCTTGATTTATGTTTAGTACAAGGTTTTCCTTGTGTTTCCACTTTTATTATAGAAAGCAGAAATTATTTTGACTTTGGGCATTTCTGCACACTGTCTGTTGCCAGAAGACCAGGAGAAAAAGACAGTAGCTTCATTTTGCTTTGTAAAAGATAGGAATCTAGATAAAGGTGAGGTTGTAAAGAAAATATGCCATTGACCGCATGAACCATCTTTCTTAAATTCAAACCCTGGCCAATTTAGTCCAAATTTGCCCTTAAAGGTTTCAGGTGTTTGGTGGGTGGTAAGGACATCCCTTGGAATCCTTCAATTTGAGATGCTGAGATGTAAACTGGAATTCTCTACAGT